TGGGCAACTAGAGATAAGATTAACAGAAAAAGAACAGGCCTTGAGGCAGGCGAGCGATGAACGTGCTGAACTGCGAGATCAACTGAGGCGGAAAGAAACCCTCCTTTTGGAGAAAGACAGAACTTTGGAGACTCTGGAGAACTCAAGGAAAGGTACAACTGACCGCTTGGATCGACTAGAGAAACAATGGCAGGACGAGAGAAGAGCGCAACGAAGTGCGTACGATACGTTACGTGACGAGAAGCGTGCTTGCGAAGAACGTTTGCAACGTGCTGAAACGGACGTGGAAACGTATCAAAGACGCATTCGCGTCCTAGAACACGAGATGGAAAGAGCTCGTCAAACCACCGACATCTTCCGCGGGGATCAGCCGTGGATGATCTCGAGAGATGAAATCAAACTCTCCGACAAGGTCCTGGGTACTGGGGCGTGGGGAAGAGTTGTGGAAGGGAATTTTCGAGGTACGAAAGTGGCTGTGAAAGAAATCCACGAAATCATTCAGTCAGCACACAACAGGCTTCTGTTTGATCGCGAAATCACTTTTGCTACCTTAGTGAGACATCCCTGTATTTTACAGTTCTTGGCTGTGGCCGAATACCGCACTAGTAAGCCACTGTTAGTTGCAGAGCTCATGGATATGTCTCTCTCGCAATTAGTAAGGGATGAAAAATCTCTGGGCAATCGATTCATCCGAATTCTGGCGCTTGACGTGGCTTACGGACTCAACTATCTTCACTGCTTTCGGCCCAATCCCATTCTTCATCGTGACGTCAACAGTGGTAACGTCATGGTTTGGCGCCAAGGTGACAAGTGGCGCGGGAAACTCTGTGATTTTGGGTCAGCGGAGTTCATGGGCAGCAAAATGTCAGAGAATCCGGGCAATCCGTTTTACTCAGCTCCTGAGGCAAGCAACTCGAGCCAATCTCCCAAGGTAGGGCACTCACATTTATATCTTTTCATTTACTGAACTGTTATCTCTGTTATCTGGTTATTAATGAAACACTGAAGAAGCTCCCTAACTTTGTAGTCGTAAGTTTCCGTGCGCTGGATTTCAAACCAATAGGTCGAGATTAGAACCATACCTGGGGTCATTGTGTACGCTATTTAATTTTTTTTCTGGGACATATTTCGCTCTCACTGTGCCGGCCTTTCTAACCAGGACCGGGTTGTTCAAAGCAAGGTTAAGGCCACTCAAGATTACTGTAAGTTTTGATCCACTTTTGAGTTTGTAACTTTAAATAATTTGAATTTTGGTTCACTTTTGTACCTTTTAGTAAGGTCTGCTTTTTCCAGTTTTTGCTGTTCATTTCTGACCTGACTAATTTCAAACGATTAAATCAATGGCAATGACTGAAAGAGAAATCAGTGCCTCGGTCGGCTTGTTCAAAAGTCCGGATAGGCAGTATTCCTGGATTAGAGCTTGATCAAGCTTTTGTTGACGAGATAAAACGGAAATCAAAATTTTCATTGACCCTGGATCTGCCTTTTGTCAGTGTTTAGAAAATATCGTCCTTGCGGTGTCTGACTTCATGATGATAAACCTTTTTTCCTTTGGTAACTAGGACGAGGCGAGCGTGGCCGAGTGGTTAGGGCGCCGGACTTGAAATCCGGAGGTAGCGGTTTCAGGTCCCGCTCTGACCACTAAGCTGGAGATGTTTCTCGGTATAGACCCTAGTTCAACTCCTCGGACATGCTTGTAAATAGCCAACTGGTTTGCTTCCCCCCAGTTGGGATTTTCAAGCCCGTGTTATGTTCAGTTGATATATTTGTTTCTTTCAGTTTAAGTGACATGCCAGTAAACTAGCTAGGTGTAGCTAAGTGCATTGACCACTTTAAACAGTAAGATTTGAACATTTTGAACTCTTTCTTTAATTGTCTCCCAAACAGATCGATGTTTACAGTTTCGGTGTACTTCTTTGTGAGCTTTGCATAAACCAAACACCCAATCCTGATGAAAGAGAGCGACAGATTGCATTGATGTGGAACAAAAATCTGCGAGATTTAACAGAGCAGTGTATTACAAAGGATCCCTCCAGGCGCTCTACAATGAGTGACTTCATTACTGTTTTAGAGCCGATGACCATGTGACTTCATATAATGATGTTACCATGGTGACTTGGTGAATATTTTGAAACCCTGATGAGCTGTTTAGTTATACAGATACTGTTACATTATTAATTGATTTTGCTCAAGCTTTGGAATAATGACATGCTTGTGAAAGACTAAATCTTTTATGTATAAGGGAATGACTTAGGGATCAGTTGAAGAAGACTGTGAAAGTTTTGTTTTACAAACTGGTTAGAAATAATAATAAACCAAAAAGGTTCAAGGATGGTGACAAACGACGAACTTGAAAAATTTAGGCTAAACTTTTCAAAATGCGCAAACCGTGACTTAGCTCCTTTAATTAAGCAAGACTGTCTACACAGTTACAACAATGGCGGATCTACTTTCTTCAATATAGGACTGCAAGGCCGCTAGCCATTCATAAGCCAGCCATTCCGGCATAAGAATGATTGACGGGGATCAGAGTTTTGAATTTGGATCTTCAACTCGTGGTCATCACATGGCCCAAGCGCTCACATGAGCTCATCCACGACCCTTGATTTAGTATCGCTAACAAACCACAATTTTTGGTAAAAAACGTAGATTTCAGGTTTCAAACTGTATGCGCGATGTTCTGAAGTCGTAAAGCTGGTTTATACATGTTGTGTACCAGCTCTTGTGGCACTGACCACCTCACCTCAACCACTTAGACCAGAATAAAACAATTGAAATTGTGGATAGGGAATGATTATTTTAGATACAATTTCGCCTNGGGGGGAATCTCTAGCACAGTTCACGAACGGAAAAAAATAGAGGATCACGGATCACGGATATATTTTCCCGAATCACGAAAATAAGCAAGTAAGATACTCTTTTTAATAACCTGTCCTTACACTAGAAAGAGTGTTTGAGGAAAACAAAATCGCGAAAGGCTAAGTAAAGGCTCCTTATCACTCTGGATAGACGACTCTAACCATTCGGAGGACTAGAATAGAATAGAGTGGTAAAACCACGAATGTCGGTATAATAATTCAAGTTCTTCACGGGTCACGAAAACCCCTCAGGTAACGGATCACGAAGAGTAATTCCGAGTCCCTAAATTCACGTTCCACGGAAAATAAAATCAGCTAATCATGCGTCATGAGAATACCCCTGTACGACCCTCATTGCAGAGTGGTTTAGGGCAATAGGTCACTTTCTACATATTAAAGTGAGGCCTAGAGGACACAAACAAAAGAAATGAACAAACGTGTCATTCAATTCCCTCTGTTTGTGTCCTCTAGGACTCACTATCAAGTTGAATTTTGATATGTCGAAAACAGTCTATTGTTCGTCTTGAAAAAGATCCATGTTCTGCTTACAATATAGTATTTTTTTGTTACATTCTCCAATCAGAAACATTTTTTCTAGCTGGTGAATGTCAAAACATGTCACAAGACATCACATCACCTGTCATGAACGCATTTATATTCGTGTAGTATTTACCTACAGTTTATTATCATATCCCAGAACTCAGGAAAACACCCGGCAAACATTAGATTATACCACGAGTAAAATTGAACCATAACGGGTGATGATTTTGTCCTTTTTCAGCCCCATCGTTCATACAAAAACGTGCTTTTATAAAAAATAACGCAGTCATACATAACATACAATGTACTCTGATTATTTTGCTTTGCGACCCAGCAAAATTAAAATCGTTACATTTGACAGTTCAAATCGTGACAAGCCACCCATTGACCTCGTGCCTAAATGCTTATTTAAGAACCCCAGAGTGATTTTCGCATATATTTATCGTCTAGATTTACCTGATGGCTGACTCGGAACGCGAAAAAGAGAAAATAAAAATTCCAGCGAGCTCGGGTTTGAGGAAAACGTACTCAGCGAAAGCTCGTTTGGATGAAGGCTGTTCGTGGACGGCTTGTGCGGTCGGTTTTATTGTGATGTTTATCATTGGTGGGCAGAATAACAGTTCAGGAATAATATTCACTGTGTTGCTGGATGAATTCAACACCAACCGCGGCCAGACCGGTAAGAAGTCGTTGTTTTGTTTTGGATCGAAAATGTTTGGGCTCAGGTTATCGCTATATATATATACCGAAGAGAACCAAACAGGCATCAGATAACTGATACATCGTGGATCGCGTGCAGTGTATAATCTCATGTGTATAATCTCAGCTCGGACTCCCTTAGTCCTTGTAAGAATTCGGCATCAGTGTGAAGGTAATGAAAAAAAAAAAAAAAATGTTACAGGTGACCATTTTGCTTTCACTTTTAATTCCGTTTTCAAATCTTGACACAGAAAGCTCAGTTTTCCATATGGCTGATAATTTTTATTTGTCCAAGAGTAAACGTCACGAAGCGGGCCGTTTGTCAAACGTGGCATTTCTGCCGTGTTGAATTTAATCTTTACATTATGGAACATTTATGCTGATATATTGAAAATGCGATTCTTCAATATGGCGCCCTTCAGCGTCGTTGAGAGCGACTTGTGCACCGGAAGAGACGAAAGCTCTTTGTCTGACAAAGAACGTCGTTAGCAAGAGAGGAAAACCCTCGTAGGAAACGACATGTAGGAGCTGTAAGAAAACTATGATCAGTCAGAGTAGCTCTGAAAACTGTTATGACATCGAAGAAAAAGTGGACAGTGAGGATGTTCGGTCCCGCCAAAATCGCGTGACTGCTGCTGCTGAGTCGAGCCGGTTTATAGCCCCCTGGCCGGGTAACCCTTATGGAACCGGCTAGAAGGGTTGAAATGTCTTCAATTCTTTCATGTTAACACTGGGCTAAAAGCTTACCCACATTAATACTTTCAGTTTCAGTTTCACTCAAATAACCATGTTTCTTTCGTTTTTCCGTTTTATTGTATGTACATCATGACCTCCCACCATTCCGCTGTACTGGACTTTGTAGGTTTTTTTGTTTGCCATCTTTCTAGCCCCTATTTTCTTTTTATTTCATTTGAACTACGTGGTTTATCAGTTCCAATGAAATCATTTCAATTCACTTAAATTTCCAGACGGTTACTTTTCTTTAGTTTGGGATGAACTTGACGGAAAAATTATAAACAGTTCTGCAATCGAATATTTAGCGACAAGTTCGTCGCAAAAAGGTGCCAGTATTCGAATTAGCAAAATTGAAACAAAATGTGAATTTGATTTGCCGGTATTTCCATCATTGTTTCTTGGAGCCCGAACAAAGTCGTCCCGGGTAGGCGAGTTGTCTCTTAGCAGAGCGTTAACAAGGCAGCTACCCTGGCGCTAGGGTAACCCTATTGCTCAGCTCTGGCTATCTAGTGCCAGGGTTACCCTACGGCATATAATTCATGGTAGGACACATTTAGTCGCCTTCTCCTTCACCCCTTGAATGCTAACCGCAAGCAAAGAGCAGTAAATAAATGTTAACGGCAAGCAAACACAGTATGTAGACTATATAACTGCTAACCATATCAACCTTAAAACCCCAAAGGTGCCGCCACTACATTTGGTCGGGGCTACACGGTTCCTATTTTTCCTAATAAGAGGTTTCTTGTGCTTACGTGTCCGGCTTTGGCGTGTGTAGGATGTTATTTGATCTATCTCCTATCCACTTTGTTGTAATCTTATTGTCACAATTAAAACATATCTTAGGCCTGGCTGACCAAAGCGCCCATGCCTCAACCTTTGAGCGTGTTCGGTTGTGTAGTGAGGGCAAAATTTGTTGTTTTCGCTAGTTAGATTGCAAAATTTAAGCTGTTATTCTTTTGTGTACTTGTTTGCTTGTTTCTATGCAGTACCATTTATGTTATAGGTCCTGTCTACAAGAAAGCACCGTAACTTCTAGTGCTGGGGCTAAGCACTCCCACATTAGTTAGGTCGCATATGTAAACAACAGAATCATGAAAGATAAATCAGATAACGTTATTTACAAAATAAAACTGAATAAACCTTATGCGAAAGTGCCAGTGGCAAGGCTGACCGTAGAATGTCACAAGTTTCTCAACCGTCTCTTTTTACAAACGTGCATGCTAACCATGAGCCTTTGCGCACTATGCTCGCACCTGCTCGCACCCAGTTCTCTGTTCGATGTCGGCAAAATATTAATTTATGTCAATATTACATTTTGCTTGGAAATAGTAAGAAATAGCAGTTTTGCCAGAATACCTGTGTATGTAACAGACAGGCTAGGGGCGATAGTCAGACGACGGCTCGGAAAAGCGAGCGTGGTAGCTTTGTAGGTTTTCTCTTATGAGGGGGTTGGTAGCTCTCTTTTTTTTCTTCTTGTTCCACAGGTTTACTTTTACCTGTCCTCTCGCAAAAAGACCGCGACAGTACTCTAGCGTCAGGGCGCGGCTAATGACAGGCAAACTGAGACACTTTTTATTTTTCGTTGTTTGTAGTCATCACAAACACCCTAAATACCTAGCAAGAGAATTAAGCCATATACATTGCCTCAGTCATGTTTTTTTTTCTGGCCATGGCCCTGTTGTTATGTCGTTGTCGGAACGAAAAAGAAGCAGCGTGACAAGTGCGTGACGCGAGGGACTGACGTCATGCTCTTACCCGAGAATTCATAGTGGTTTGTAAAGGAGTTTGCACTGCTAGCGTTCTAGATCGTTTTGTCTTTTTATCACTTCCCCGCTTTTTTCGCCTCCTTCAGTTTTTCGATTCACCTGCCAATCTCTCTCAGGCCTCCTTTATTTCCATTTATTTAAGTTGATTTCAACAGCGTCATCTGTCATAAGGACTCTTTTCCAATTCAGATCTTTTGAACAATAACCATGAAACTTTATGAGGTAGTTTCTATTTTAAAAGGCATTGCTTTGATTTTATATCTCCTCAGCTTGGGTGACCGCCATGGCAGCGGGAAGCATGCATGCGTTTGGAATGGTTTCCGCTCTCCTTGGTAACCGGCTTGGATTCGCTAACGTCATTGTGTTGGGTGGACTCGCATGTGCTGTTGGGATGTTTACGTCATCGTTCGCCACAAATATCTACTTACTTTACTTAACTTATGGTTTGGTGTGGGGCTTGGGCTCTTGTCTTTGTTACTGTTCCGCTTTGTTTCTGCTTCCTCAGTTTTTCCGGGCGCGACTCGGCTTAGCCAATGGGATCGTATTTTTTGGAGCTCCAGTTGCTACTCTGGTTTATAGTGCAGTTATGCAGAAACTTTTCAATTACTTGGGATTGGCAAAGACCTTTCGAATTTTAGCTGGAGTGCAGCTGGTTTTAGTGCTTTGTGGATTTATTACAAGATCGATTCTTTCACTTGGGTTTGACCAAATTGAGTTGAAAAATATCAAGAAATCTAGTTTTGATTGGTCGATATTCAAGAACAAAAGCTTCATGGTTTTTGTGGCGTCCCTGTGCATGTTTATGCCTGGTTACTTGGTTCCTTATGTGCATTTAGTAAGTTAACATATCCTTCTTTGTTTTCGTCCTTTCATTCATCCTCCCTCCTTCCCTTCTGCTCTTCTTTTCAGCTCACAATTTATTACTGACTAATTGATTATTTCTTTTATCAGGTTCGACTTGCTAAGGATTCCGGTGAAACCTCCAACAGAGCAGTGTTTTTGGTTAGCTGTTTAGGGTTTGGTTCGTTAACAATTCGTCCTTTCTTTGGCAAATTCCTGGACCTGCCTCGAGTCAGTCGCTTAACCACTCTACAGATCACACTTCTCTTAATCAGTGTTTTCACGACTCTTGTTCCCATAGCAACCAATTACGAATGGCTAGCAACCTATGCATTTATGTATGGTCTCCTAGAGGGATGTTTTTTAATTTCCTTGCCGTTAATTGTGCAAGACTTAGTTGGAGACAGCAAATTGGCGTCTGCCCTGGGTACCTTGTACTGCCTTCTTTCTATCCCTAAAACCGCTGGCCCCTCGATCGCGGGCTGGATATACGACACATTTGACAGTTATGCCGTGGCGTTTTTTTGCGCAGGGGGATTTGCGATGGTTTCTACGTGTATTTTGTTAATGGTTCCACTGTTTAGAACGAATATTAATTCATTCTCCAGAAGTAAAGAGCTTGTTCATCTCGTGGTACGTTCCGAGTGCAACAACGAAGAGATCATAGGGAAAGAAACCTGTTTGTAGTTACAGTTATACTGAAGAGACGTCACCTGTTGCAATAACATAGAGTCAATATTGTCAGAGAGCACAATTATACGTTCTTTTTGAGCTCACAATCTTATTGTTAATTATTGGAGCACTAATTAAACTATCTTCAAAGAACGGTTGCTAATTCTTTCTACAATAGTAGTTTTAAACTTCTTCAAGTCGAAAGTCGCGTGTGGATTGAATTGTTCTTTGAAACTTCCGGGGAAGTGAATTACCTTGTAAAAATGTCCATTCTTAATGTGCCCCGAAGCATCGTCCCCGGCCGGGGAATTATGCGGACGACCTCCAACCCCTTGGCAGTTATAGTTCACTACCAAATGTTACCTTTCTCGTCCCTGACAAAAACTCATCACGTGGTATGCTCAATTACCTTATAGAGTGTCCATCTATGGGTTGCTTTCAGACATTATAGCTCACCATTTAATTTTCTCCGATTCTTAGTATTGGCGGAGAGACACGATCTGCCCTTATAATCCATCAAATACTATCATTCGGACGCGATTGGTCTAAACGCGTCACATGACTGAATATTCCTCAGCTAAAACTGTTGAGTGATATTCCCCAATTTCCCAAACCACGCGTGTTGGAAAGGCCGGGATGCTCGTGGAAAATTTCGTGAGAAATTTTGAAAAGAACCCCTAAGAGGTTCTAAGATCCTGTTTTGTGGGCGTCACTTGAATTTTTATTCATCCCTAAGAGGTACCAATTCTAAAACAAAACATTATCTCTGCCCTTTGAACCGCTAAAAGGTATGACGAACACCTCTGTCCTTTTCATATGGGAGTCTCTCCCCCGGAGGGGGGAGGGCTTGAAAAATATTTGTAGGTCAATAAATTAAACAAAATAGCCACCGTGAGTTGGCGCGAAAATATGATCGGATATTTGTCCTTTGACATTATCTGTACCTCAGAGCTTTCAGTTTTCGGTTCTCTGAACAGATTATGTCCGCAGACAAATATCCGAGCATATTTTCGTACGAAATGGAGGCTATTGTTTACATGGAACCTCGACAGAAAAAAAAATATTGTTACAATAGCGTTTGATAGCTCAGCCCAACAGATTGCAACGTTGGCAGTTAGGAACAATGAGATGAAAACATTCTCACATCTTACATAGAGGATATTACATGACCGCGCGGGGATGCGAATTATATTCCCGACCTCAGTTGAAGTGACCACTGTTTTCGGTGCAAATACGGAGATGTCTTAGATTTCGAGAAGATTAAATATTAGATATCCAGAAGATTAAATGGCCACTTGGGAATACCATGAGAGATACCATCTTTAAAGATAAAATTTGTATCTCCGCGCGTTATGTAAAATACTCTATAGAATGGGAGTCTTTCCTCGATGTCACCCGCTCCTCATTTCATATTTTCTGTTACCCTGACAATCTATTTACCAACGGAATCAGACCTGGCAAGTATTTAATTCCGTAATGAACAGATTTATACCCTGCTCAACCCTGCTTTAAGTTATCTGGGGATTTTATTTTGGTATTTTTTTGACAGACTTGTTTTCTTCATAAAAGCGAGGAAGGAGTGGCGGAGTGGAGGGGGGACTGACTGACCAACTGACTGACTGACTGACTGACTGACTGTCTAACCGAACCAACGAACGAACGAACCAACGAACGAATGGACGGTCGGATGAAATACAAACAGCTGTCAATGTCCGGCCGTAAGTCACGTGACTCTAGTATTAAAAGAGAAGTTCCTCTAGGACATTGAAAGGTTCATTCCTCCCCCTCCCCCTCCCCTTGCCCCTTCCCCTCCCCTTACCCCTCCCCCCTCTACTGACATACCAGGAAGATTTGTTCGACCGCAGAAAACATCCGAGCCATGCATTTAAAACCATATTCAAGATTTCTGTTCATTTGAGATGCATTTATTCATGAACAGTAGAAATAGAGAAGTCTGGGTGTACCACTACTAAGCTCTTGTAAAATCCAATCTGTGGTTAGTTTATGTTTTAAGCAAAAAGAAAATCGAAAATCATAGGCAGACTACAGTGTGTGCGATGCTTTTAATTATTATATTATTGACCCATGAACATTTTTAAATTGAAAAGGGACAACATAGCTGTTTCGTTTTCATTTGGAAGAAAAACAATTAAACGTTTTCGAATTCAAATAAAATTTGTCGGACAGATCAAATAGTTTTATTGCGCAAAAGAAAGATATACATTTCTTTAATTAAACATGAAGGCGTAAACTCAAATCTGGGAAAGGGCGTAACGGGTGACCGAGATGAGTCACGCAACTCAGAAGTCAAGTGTTATGTCGGGCTGTCTGCAACAATGCTAGCTTTGATCAGATCAAGTTCAATTCATTGCGGACAAAGGGGCTGAAACATCTGCGGGTTGAAAAACTCTTACAACAAAATGAATCCACCGGAAAAACTAGACAGTTCAACTGCTGCGTAGATTCTTCACCGAACGCGTGAAAAATTGAACATGAATTAAAATTACTTTTTCCTGGGTCTTCAACAGGTAGAAGGTGGACGTAAATTAAACCTGAACTGATAAGGTGCCGAGCGGCCACCAATCTGCGCTCGTGAAAGAGGCCCACACCTCAGGAGCTTTTGATAATTTGCATTTACTAAAACAACACAGACAGCGTTCCATAGATCACATTTTGCTTTATTCTCTACAGTGCAGCTGTACGCCGGTGGGTTGCAATCTCTGTTCTCACGAGCAAGTACAAGGGTACATCATGGCCGACATTAAAATGGGTAAAGTTAAAGGAAAGCTGCAAGGCTTGAAGGATAAGATCGAGAGCGCAGAAGAGAGGGAGATCACGGCCAAAGCCAAACATCGTGAGATGGAAGAAGATTGCGACAAAAATGAAAATGAGGCAGATTCATTCAGGCGAAGAATTACCCTCGTACGAGATGAACTAGCAAAATGTGACGAACATGTAAAGGAGAAGGAGGAAAGATTGGCCGAAGTTCAGGCGCTTTCAATGGAGCACGAATGCGCTTGCAAACAGCTGGAGGGAGACGATCGCGAAAGCGACGAACGCTTGATGCAGTTGGAACTAGACGTGTCCGAAGCCACGCAAACTGCAAAGGAGTCGGACGAACGGCTACAGGAGTCCAAGCAAAAGTTGAAAGTCACTTTAGCTGAGGTAGAAAAGGCCAGGGAACGCGTTGAAAAACTGGAAAGCAGAGCCACTGAGCTGGAAGAAACAATTAGCGCAAATAGTACCAAATTGAGAGAAATGGAAACCGAAGATGCCCAGTACGCTGAGAACGAAACAGAGAAAAACGAGATGTTGGAGTTTTTACAAGAACAGCTAAAGGAAGCTGTGGCGCGCCTCGAAGAAGCTGCACGTAAGGTACAGCCACAAGAGGGCGTCATCGACGACCTAACACAAGAACACGACATGATTAAGGAAAAAATCGCACATATCCGACAAGAGATGAAGGATATGGAGGAAATGGTGGAGCAATCCATAGACGACGTTGAAGTCCATGAGCCTAAAAAGGTGACAGACCGCTACCACGCTTATCAGGAAGAGCCCGAACCCGAACCCGCGGAGCCCGAACCAGCTGATCCCGAACCAGAGCCAGAGGCAGAGCGAGAAGACCGATCGGCCAGCGAAGGAGAGGAAGATTAAACACATTTTACTCTCAGTGACTTTGTTACGTAAGTCTGACAGTTTCTGACAATGCGGGCTGTTTTATAGAATATCGATTTTCACCACTTTTGAATGTTTTTATTTCAAATTTCTTTAATCGTTAGCTAGTTTTCCATCTTCGATGAACTCATTTTTTGAGCAGTTCAAATTTCCATTTTGCAGTTAGATTATTGCACTTTTCATTAACTAGATTTTTAAGATTTCAAGGCGGGCACAAAAGCCCAGTAGGTGTCGAATTAAATTAGCTAACAGTGTGTTTTTGATTGTCTGTCAGATCAATTAATGTTACCTGTTATTAACTAATACTTCTCGTTTAGTCAATATTTTTGGAATAAAATTCTACATTTTTATAGGATCAAGTGGTTTAAATCCTTTGTGATTGACCGTTCAACGATGCAATGGAAAGGATAGTTTATTTTCTTTGCGTGATGAGTAATAACAAGATCACCGAAGCGTAACACGGCCAGACACGAACAACGTTCTGCTTGCGAAAATCACGAAGTTACAAAGTTTCGAAGCTTCGCAATTTTTATTGCTAGCATTTGTTCAAAATCTTAATTTCCAAAGTCTCGATCCTACTCAAGTTGTTGTTATTTACAAAACAGAAAGCTTTAAAATCTTGCGGCATCTTTGCGTAGCATAAAAGCAATGGGGCGTTTTAAGCTATGCAATGTATGGAATGTTCTATCAGGCGATACGCAAATATTTCTTCTGACCTCACTAAAGTGAGGTTATACCGCAATAGGCCATTTTACAGTTGTGTTCTCAGTTACTTTGCTTATGAATGCAAGCAAGGCTGGAGGTGACCTTGCTCTGAGAAAAATATATAAACTAGCCCATTACCCGATGAACGGCCGTGCTGTCACGGCCACTATTAGCATCAGTTGTAGTTTTCTGGAAAGGATGAGTTTCCCAATCCGTGCCATCATAATCACTTTTTATAGTTACAAGTCTTTGCAGCCAAACAACTTATGTTTCGTAAAAAGCAAACTAGGTTCAAGGCTCGCTTCGAACAGAAACGCTTCAATAACAGGAAAAAGGCAATTTATTCGCAGTAAGTAAAGAGCAACAAGTCGATAATGATTTGTGACAATTTTGAGAAAGTTGACAGCAATAGTTTCGTTTGCATGACAAGTGAGGACAGCACAGGATGTAACTGACTGTTTTCTTCATACATTATTTCTCCTTTATACGTGAGACACTTTGAATTCCTAGTTTAAGAGTGCTAGACTTCCATGAATACAGGGCTCCCGACCGGTAAATCCCATATGTTAAGAGGCAACGTTAATGGGAATGTTTCGCGTAATAATTTTGTCTGTGGAGAAAAATCTTCAACCCCAAAACAAATTTTGTGCAAGAAAATTAAAAGTGAGCTTTACTTTGAGGTTTAGGGAAGTTAAAACTCTCTGCATAATTAATTAGCTAAGACCGCCTTATTGACCCACAACGCGCATGCGTGTCCGCGAAAAGACCATTTCTTTTTAACTTTTGATTATCGCTAGCTCCCACTGCAGGGATGTTTAAAAACAACGTATTCCAAATTGGCCACCAGTATCAAAAACCTTCACACACCTCCCTAAGAAGTCAAGTCATTGAGTAATTATTTGCCACATACCATATGGATGACGCTGATTAAACGGAAACATTAATATAGCGCGTCGAAAAACAAGTTACTGGGATCCCCGATCCCGCATACTAAAGCCGTAGCGAATGGGAGATACCTAGCGGGCCTCCTGACTTGGAACGGCTTGGTGAAATCCGAAGGGTTAGCCACCCCCAGTTTTTTTGCCTTATCTTTAAAAGACTTTAAGAATACCAGTTGCAGCGCCCCTTCAATGTCTCTTCGTTGATACTTTCAATGATGGAAACGTGCCACTTGATGCAGTGCTCACTACCTGTTGATTTGTATGTCGTTTTCGTTTTATTGATGTTTTTATCGGCATATGATTTCTTCTCCAATCTTTTAATTGTTTGGTGTAAGAAATTGTTAGGATAAAATAATTTGTCACTTGAGGTGAAGTATCTCTTAACTCAGCTTTAATTCCAGTACTTTGAGAGTTCGGGTCTGAAGATTGTGACGATTTCTATTGACCTTACCGGAACAACGTATTGTATTTCTAGGAAATTTATCAAAGTTTAAAGCAGGCAAACAAAAATACAAAAAAACAAAAAAACAAGAACAAAACAAAACAAGAACAAATAAACGGCGACCTACCATATAAAAAACTGCGAGCAGAGGGAGTGGAAAAGACGGTTTCCTACTTGTTTACTTTTTATGTGTCTTGCACAGTTTTCTCAGTTCTTCGTTCTACACGATTCCAGACATATGGCAAGGCAGGTTATGTGTTCCTATTTTTTAAGTAAACAGCAATTTAAAAGTTTCGTGAAAAGAGGAAAATCTCAAAGGTAAAATTCGTCACATGAGATCTGAAGAAAATATATATATAACTCGCTAACTAGGCATTGAGTTGCAATTAAATTTAGACGGCAATTCTTGCTGTCTATTAACTGTGATAAACGATTTCAACATTTCATTGGATTTACAACAAACAGTCGTCAACTAATTTGGGCATTCTTGAGAGAGCTAGTGATGTGGCCAGCAGATGTCACAAAAGGGCTTCCTTTGTATTCAGCTACACCTTCCTCGGAGGTGCAAAGGTCAGGCTGAAAGAAACAGAGAAAATATAGATACGAGTTACTTGAGAACGATTGCTGTTGTTGAAGTAGATAAATGAGAATTGGAATTGACAAGTTGCGCACAATTTATGTTAGCTCACTGACATTGTTCTACAAGGAAGGTTTTCTAGGAACTTTTCCAGTTTATTTCTCAACGTAGAAGTTAAAATCACTAGTTCGTTGATCGTGACCGCTAAAACATTCCACGTTCTAATCGTACAACTCTTCTTCAACCTCCACTTTTCAACTAAAAGGAAAACAAATTGTTTGGTTTGAAAGGCTGAAAGAATGCAAAGTAAAATCAAACAAACCTTCATTGTTTCAAAAATCTTTTTCTTCGGATTTAGTTGGTCATCTGGAGCTGAATGAGAACAAGACGACAAGAATCATTATTTTATTTAATTCCATATCTCAGCTGGATCACAGTTATTAGAGCGAAGGAATGGTTATGAAGCAAAAAAACACCACCGAGATAATAATAAACCATAAAGGAACAAGGATGGTTAAGGATGGAGGAGTTTAACACGAATTACAGGGAACAAACTTGAAACACTTAGGCTGAACTTTTAAGATGCGCAAACCACGACTCCTTTAAGAAACTGTCACCTGCTTCAACAAAAACAGTGTTATTTTGCTACGAAGAACAATTGTGAGAAGATTAAGATCGGTGTTGTGCTATCTCACCTCCGGCTGTTTCATGCTCATATCCTTGTACTACTACTCTGTCACCGGGTTTACAGTCTTCTGGTGGACACAGAGGGACAACTTGTCGCTTTCCATCAGAACTATAAAACAGAAACACACGTCTCCATCAGTTTCGTTTGCTTCTACGCTATATCATGATAAAACATGTCCAAAAGGGTTTCGTGCTAAAGAAATCCTTGGCGTCCGAGTTCGCGGCCACCGTTAGCTACTTGCTTTTGTTGCTTTTCTCTATAAGAAGTTTACTGTAAATCATACTGTACTTTGCTTTCTTGGATTATAAGCTTCTGGTTGCAACAAACTATTATTGGCTACGTAGCTACGAAACGTGGACGACGACGGCTAATTTTTCGTATTTCCATTTGGAACTGAACTCTGTCGTTGCATATTTAGCTTAAGTACGTTCTTAGAGCCACTGGCGTACTGAACAGATCTAGACAATCGCGAATTTCGCTCGTAAAATATGAGTTCATTTTTTACTGAGCGTCGTCGTCGTCGTCGTCGTTGTCGTTGCTTAAGCTCCCTAATGTGTAGAATTCAGCGTGTAAATCGGAGTTCATCTTTAAAGTTTTGTCTTAACAATTAATATATTTGATCAAAACGTACACGCCGAATGAGTGAAACCAAGATCTACTTTAACTCACCCCGTTACAGATGCTGCCATTAGCATCGCTTCTGACTTGATGCCTAAAATAGACAACAAAATACTGTTTACTACATCAACAGAGGCTAACGGAGGTAACACAAAACATTTGATCATAAATCATCAGACCCACACAGTCTTGGGGTCTACACGTAGTGAAACGATAGGGAGGGAGTTGGGACAGAAGGGAAGCTATCTTGACTAAGAAACAATTTCTGTTGCTCGTGCACTCCTGCTAAAGGTGGGGGAAGGGGCATGGAGCTGGTGTGCTTGGAATGCCAGGGAAGGGACAGTAGTAAGGAATAACAGGTAGTAATGAACAGTCTGCATTCTGGCATTTGACTGGAAACCCCATTAATTGTTGCAGCTAAATTTTGCAGCTACGTTTTTACGTCCACACTACGCTGAAGGAATTTGAAAACGGAGGTTTCACTCTGAAAACGCATCAAATGTTTCACTTTCACACTATGCTGAAGGAGTTTAAAAACGCAACAACCAGCCATTTTGGATTTGTGTTTGAGGAAAGTTCGAACAGGGAAATTATTTGATTATCGTGACGCCACCGTTTTCGAAAATCTCCGTTTTCAAAATGTTTTCCATCCACACGAAAACGAAAAGCCGGCGTTTTCAAATTCCTCCGGTTTGAAGAGCGTTTTCGAAAA